AATGGAAACAAATATCATAACCAATTATTGTAAAAAAAAAAAAATTCATTTTAATGAACAATTTTCATGTAAAACGAAGTCAAACGAACACTAAACTTTGATGAAAAATAGTTTTCAAGCAAAAAAAAATTTTTTTTTTTTTTACTTTTTGACAATGGTAACAAATTTCATAACCAATTGTAAAAGAAAAATACTTGAATGGACAATTTTTATGTAAAATAAAGCCAAACGTGAACAAAAAAAAAATCCAAAATTTCAAAAAATTTCCGGGTGGAAAATTATACCAATCAAACACACTTAATTAACAATTCCCTGAAAAACAATTTCTAAACAATTACTTTCCCTAAAATTCATTTTCTTTCCACCCTTGTAATCAAACGGATCCTGACAAATTTTGGTGGAAATGACAACCAAAAATAAATAAAATTGAACAACACATATGCTGCCACGTGTAAAATTGTATACATGCAACTAACACGCTCTTTCTACGCATACAAAGTGTGAGGGGTTGGCTTTGATCGTCAAATTTTAGTGCAAACATACTACTCTCAATCAAAATCTTTTTCCCACATTTCCTTCTTTATTGACGGTATTGGCTCGAATGGTTGGGTAGATTGGTTTGGTTGCCGCATCACGAGTTCTCTTCACTTCCACAAACTGAATTTTCTCGTGTCGTGATCCCCTTGTCAATTTTATCATCATCCTTCATTTCAAGAGCCTCGATGGAGCTCCAAACTCTAGCATTTAGCTGTCTTCTTGAACGAAGTGAACTATGTGAAAGATTCACTCTTATATCAAGTTAGAGTAGAAAGAGTGAAACATGTTATGTGATATCCATTTGTACAATCAACCCTTATTAACGAAATTGTCCAAATCTCTATTAAATCGTCATGTTACCCTTACATGTCTAATTTTATAAAAATTAAGATTTGGTTCTCGACTTGGCCTGTGTCAAAAAAATTGAAATTAGACACATGTTTACTTTTTTATGAGAGTTAATTGATCGGTTGACGAATTTTTAGATGATTTATGTGATTAATCAATTGCAATGAAACATCAAGGACCTAGTTGGTCATTTTTAAAAGATAGAGACTAGACTTGTATAGATAGCCCATGGTTTATAGAGGAAAATTATAAGGTTGGATTTAAGTGGGATCCACACTACCACAAATATGGTAAGGCCACAAATATTTGTGAACTTATTTGTCATTGACTCAACTTAACCACGGGGCCCATTAAAATTTTCATTATCATTTTTTTACTCATTTTCAGTCACGTATTTTTCAATAAAATAATATTTTTTATTTTATCAATAACTTTTCCTTCTTTTTCAATCATACATTCTCTATCAATCTACTATTCCAAAATAGATTCTTCCAAAATAATGTGGTTCAAACACACCCTTAATTCGAGTGGGTCAAGTTGACCGTTTAAACTTTTTAAAGTAAATTATTCAACATAATTCCTAAGTAAAGAATTATACTAAACCCTTATTACATCAATTCGACTAAACTCGAAATGCTTCTTCAATGTATTTTTTTATACGAAACGAACTTAACTAACATGTAGCACTAATGTCAACTCAAAGTCGACTTATTTTTCAAGTGAACAAATTCATTCCGAAAATTTTGTTGTTTCAATTACTAGGCTCGTTTTTCTTATATCCTTTCACGCATTTCATTACTAGAAAACAAATGTGACTTTTAAGCAAACTAATGTAAGTTTATAGTTAAATAACTCGACTAAGCCGAGCAAAATCATTCGACGTAGAGTAAATTCCGTCAAATGACAACTGAGTTGAGATTGAGGTTGAGGAAAACTAACATAAGATCTTGGATGAACAATCCAAATAATACTATTTTTCTTGAATTTTAATGGAACACTCATCTTAAATTTAACTAACTTAATTCATAATTTTTCCTTTGGTTGTTGCGTGTACTCTTTGTTAGTTAGAAATCGTTATCAAGCCAGAGACATCTGTCCGCAAAAGTGTGGGTGACAATTCAGTTCATATTTAATAGAGAAATTGCAATAGAATTACGTGTTTAACAATTTTAACATATTTTTTTTTCTTTTTTTGGACTTTCTGGCCGACACTTTTATGTACAAAATTTCATTACATACAACAAACTTTCACTAAAACATTAAATTATCACAGCAACCTAAAACTGTGTAGATTGAGACTTTGGGGCTCCCCTTTATGTTTATGATTCAGGCAATAATTTGAAATTAGACACATGTTCTCTACTCAGGTTGATTTTTTTTTTTTTAATTTAAATTTTTTAATCGATTTCAAATCCGGGTTGAGATTTCTAACACCAACTCTATAATTTATTTTGTTATATTCAATTTCTTTATCCTAATCCAAGGTTCTTGCTCCTCAGAAATGTTCTCCTTACACCGCGGAAAATATTATCTTACTCACTTCAAAATAATTTTACTTATGGTTCTCACATTTGGAGAGAAACTAAGTAAGATTCATATCAGTAAGTAGGTGGTCTTATCCTGTTCACTGTGGACATGAGAATAATTTCGTTTGTCTTGAAAATTTGGTTTGATGTTTTGCTTTTTCATGTTTTACATAATATAGAGTTGGAATTAAACTAGTTGTACATTTCTAGTGTACATTATGGATGACATTGTGTAATGTGAGAAAAATTGTGGCATTGATTTGAAGAAAAATGCTGAATGTATATCATTTTTACACAGTAAATTTGACAGACCTCTCAGATGGGTGTGGGGCCCGCGATTGTGGTGCCCACCACCATGTGAGAGGGGCTGTCAAAATGTATGTGTAAAAAGACTGTAAATATAATATTTCTCTAATTTGAATAAGTATTAAAATCAATGATTCAAAGTGCACAACTGTAAAATGAGATGAACAAGCACAATAAACTTTGAATTGTTTAGCTTTTTCAATCTATTCAGCATATACACTGATTATGTATATATAAGTATTTACAGCAACTGAATTGAGTAATATTAGGAGACTAACTAGCACTTATAGTTACATCATTCTAATCTAATTAAAGAAGAGGTTGAGATAATTCTGCAACAGAAATTAATCCTAATCTGGTCTTCTTTTGAATCTCTAATCCTGAGGAGCTGATTCACTAATTTCTTCCACGTGTGATGATACTCTAACACCCCCCTGCAAACTGATGGGGAGCAAACACACCTTCAGTTTGTGTCTGAGAAACTGAAAACGAGCTGCAGATTGTCCCTTTGTGAACACATCTGCTAGTTGATCTTGCGTAGAAATGTGTTTAACTTGAATATCTCCATTGACCACTTTTTCTCGGATAAAGTGATAATCAATTTCAACATGTTTAGTTCTTGCATGAAAGACGGGATTAGACGCCAAAGCAATTGCTCCAATGTTATCACACCATAGAATTGGGGGAGTGTGGATCACAATCTGCAATTCCCTTAATAACATTCGAATCCAATACATCTCAGCTGTAGCCAACGCCATACTTCTGTACTCAGCTTCTGTGCTTGAACGAGACACGACATTTTGTTTCTTGGCTGACCAGGAAACCAAGTTCTGTCCTATGAAAATGGCATAACCACTAGTGCTCTTTCTGTCATCAGGATTACCAGCCCAATCCGAGTCACAAAATGCATTTAAACCAATACCTGAAGGAGAATATTGGAGACCAAAATCAATGGTTCCTTTGAGATATCTGAGAACCCGTTTGACAGCCACCCAATGAAGTTCTCTTGGACTGTGCATAAACTGACATAGTTGATTAACAGCATAAGATATGTCAGGTCTTGAAATAGTGCAGTACTGGAGAGCTCCTACAACACGCCTATACTCTGTTGGATCAGTAAGTAGTAGGCCTTGTCTTGAGGACAACTTCGTCCCTGATGTAGTAGGAGACGCAAGTGGCTTTGCGCCAACCATCCTTGTGCTTTCCAATAGGTCAGAAATGTATTTTGCTTGCCTCAGATGAAGACATGTCTTGTCCCTAATGGCCTGAACACCCAGAAAATAGCTGAGCTCACCAAGATCTTTGAGTTGGAAACTTAATCTGAGTTGATTAATTACATGATTAACTGCAGCTTGATCTGAACCTGTGATGAGTATATCATCTACATAGCCCAAAACAAACAACTTAATGGCATCAGTGCAGTGTATAAATAATGAGTAATCAACCTTTGATTCAGTGAAACCAATGTCTGCAAGATGCTGGGAAAGCCGTGCTCTCCAAGATCTTTTAGTCGGAAACTTAATCTGAGTGGATTAATTACATGATTAACTGCAGCTTGATCTAAACCTGTGATGAGTATATCTTCTACATAGACCTTAACAAACAACTTAATGGCATCAGTGCAGTGTATAAATAATGAGTAATCAACCTTTGATTCAGTGAAACCAATGTCTGCAAGTTGCTGGGAAAGCCGTTTAAACCACGCTCTCGGCGCTTGTTTAAGTCCATAGAGGGACTTGTGTAATCGACATACCATATTTGGATTGTTTTCATCCACAAAACCCTGTGGTTGTTCCATATACACTTCTTCATCCAACACCCCATGTAAGAACGCATTGGACACATCCAATTGACGAATGTTCCACCGGAAATTCACAGCTAAGGCCAAAACCAACCGAATCGTTGTAGGCTTTACAACTGGTGAGAATGTATCATAGTAATCTACACCACTACGTTGATCAAATCCCTTCGCTACCAGTCTTGCTTTATAACGTTCAATGCTACCATCTTGATTCCTTTTGATTTTAAATACCCACTTGTTACGGACAAGGGGTTTATTTGGAGGTTTCTGACAGAGTGACCAAGTACCATTTTCCATTAAAGCATCAAATTCGCGCCCCATAGCAGCACGCCATTCTGGTCTTGTCACTGCCTTTGTGTAGCAAGTTGGCTCAGGTTCATGAGTAACACTAGAGAAGGCTCGAAGAGGATGTTTAGTAGCATAGAAGGTTGTAAAGTCAGGGTGCTCTTTTGGTTTGGAATTTCCTGTTTTTGATCTGGTAATTATTTCCCTGGTTGCTGTTACCGGATGATCGAAGGTTGGTAAGGAGGACACGGGGTTTTCATGCGCTTGTGTAGTGACCATAAGGTTAGGTGAGGATAAAGAGTCTGGATGATGGATCACATTATCACACACAGGTGTATCTTGAAAACGAGGTGATATAGTCTGATCAGGTTCGAAACTGGGCTGAGAGTGAGAGTTCTGAACAGAAATATTGTGCACATTAGTAAAGACAGGAATTGAATCTGAAATTGGAGTCATACCTGTAGACATACTGCACTCTTCAGGTGGCAAGACAGATCCAATATTCAACGCTGGAAAAGAGTCTTCATTAAAAACCACGTGTCTAGAGACATAAACTCTACCTGTTGCCAAATCTAGACACCTGTACCCCTTTTGTTGGTTTGCATAGCCAAGGAAGACGCACTCTTTACTTCGAAAGGAAAGTTTGTTATCCTCATAAGGTCTTAAAAAGGGAAAACATGAGCAGCCAAAGACACGAAGTTCTAAGTAATTCGGCATTGTCTTATGGAGAACAAAAAATGGTGACAGATTATGTAGGACTTTAGTAGGTAGGCGATTAATTAAGTATACCGAGGTAACAAAGGAGTCCACCCAGTAACAATTTGGTAGATGTGCTTTTGCTAGAAGTGTTAAACCAATTTCTTGGATATGTCGATGCTTACGTTCTGCAATACCGTTTTGTTGAGACGTATAAGGGCATGTTAAACGATGTTGTATTCCATGGTTTGATAAAAATTCTTTGAATTGATTTGAGAGATATTCTCCACCATTATCTGTTTGTAATTGCTGAATTTTACAAGAAAAAAGATTTTCAACAAGAGATTTATATTTTTGGAAAATAGCAAATACATCAGACTTGTAATGCATGGGATACATCCATGTAAAACGACTAAAATCATCGACAAATAACACATAAAATCGACAACCACCAACAGATGTTACGGGGGAGACCCAAACATCGGAGTGTATGAGAGCTAGGGGTCTAAACGTTTGTCTTGTAGAGTCAGTAAAGGGTAGATGTTTAGCCTTTCCTAATTGACACGACGTACAAAAACCAACCTTATTTGCAGAAATTGTAACAGGAAGATAATGAAGCAAATGAGCTAAGGTAGACTTCGAGGGATGACCTAGCCTATTATGCCAGTGGTCCGCCGAGGTCTTTATTCCTAATTTGGCAGTAAGACAACGTAGTTTAGATGATGTGCTCTTATTTCCAGCAATCGGATAGAGGCCATTCTCAACCAGCCCTTGAAGCAGGAGTCTCCCAGTCTTGTTCTCCTTTACACAGAAATCAACACCAGTCAATACAAAGTAGCAGTCATTGTCAAGGCAAAAACGGTTTATGGATAACAGGTTAGTAGATGCTTTTGGACAATGAAGAACATTTGTTAGTTTATAAGAATTATTTGCTACATTTATAGAGATAGAACCAGTGTGTTTAATCATTAAACCTGATCCATTGCCCACTGTGACAGTGTCTTGACCTTCATAGGGCTCTTGGTTTGCTAAATTAGCTGCATTGCCTGTGATATGGGCATTAGCCCCACTGTCAGCATACCAAACCTGTTGGTGGTAAGTGTTGTTGGCTTCTGCTGCCATTGATGCAAGATTAGCAGGTGGAAGACGTCCTTGAAAGGTAAAATTAAAGCGCTGGTAGCAATCCAAGGCAGTATGGCCCGCTTTTTCGCAAATTTGACAAATTGACCTGTTGGGATTGGCCTGCATAGGTCGAGGGTTGCTTAGGCCAGCTCCGGATTGTTGATTTGGCTGTTGTATCTTGGTGCCATTGAATTGTGGTTTTGACTTCTTCATGAATTGTGACTGTTTTGCTTTAGTAGCAGCAAAGGCATAATGATTGTCTGGTGCATGTGAAACCTGAGTTTCCAAAAGATTTTCAAAACTGAGTAGTTCTGCTTGAAATTCATCTAAAGTAAAATCTTTGTCTCTTGAGGCAAAGTTGAAGGATGTGATGAAAGAGGTGAAGTTGCTTTTCAAACCACCAATCAGAAAGCTAATGAGCTCCTGATCATCAATGGATTTTCCAGCAGCAGCAAGTTGATCAGATATGGATTTTGCCCCTTCAATGTAATCTGTGCATGATCGATTACCTTGAGTAATGGTCTGCAATTGGCGTTTGAGAAGAGCAATGCGTGACCGTGATGTGGAGGAAAATCTGGTACGAAGTGCATTCCAAACCAGTTTGGAAGTCTTCAAACCATACACTGAGGATACTAACTTCTCAGTTATAGAAGCTAGTAACCAGCTAAGAACACAGTTGTCTTTTCTGAACCAAACTGTATAAGCTGGATTTGATGTTCCATCAGACAAAGTCTTTGGTGGATCAGGTGTTTCATCTTCCACGATGTCCACAAGATCATGGCTGCGAAGGAACACAAGAAATTGAATGCTCCAGGGAAGGTAATTGGGGCCATTCAACTTTTGAGTGACTGGTTGGAAATTGCGTTGGATAGTGAGGATGGAGGAGTTGTTGGATGCAGAATCTGAGGCCATGAGTATTAATTTGTTGGTAGTTTAGAAAGGTGCGGAAGCTTGGTAGAAAGAAAGGTCCAGAATTTAGGCATGTGCCTCTAAAAGCTCTGATACCATGTAAAATGAGATGAACAAGCACAATAAACTTTGAATTGTTTAGCTTTTTCAATCTATTCAGCATATACACTGATTATGTATATATAAGTATTTACAGCAACTGAATTGAGTAATATTAGGAGACTAACTAGCACTTATAGTTACATCATTCTAATCTAATTAAAGAAGAGGTTGAGATAATTCTGCAACAGAAATTAATCCTAATCTGGTCTTCTTTTGAATCTCTAATCCTGAGGAGCTGATTCACTAATTTCTTCCACGTGTGATGATACTCTAACAGTTGTTTCACCCATACGAAAGGAAGCTTCCCAAGAGACCAACATTTCCCGATATGCCCATGATGAACCCCGGAAAGGCTGCGATGNGATATAGCTAAAATTCGTAACGCCAGTTGAGATTTTTTCTTTCTTTCATTTTTTTTAAAAACCTTATCATGCAGTAGATAGGATGGCCACAAATAATAAAGAATTGTACAAGTATTCATTCAATGAAACGTCTGCGCGGCGAAAGCGTGTTGACAATTCAGTTCAAAATTAGGTATTCAGCAATTTTAGCCTTTTTTTTTTCAAAGACTTTCTAGCGGACACGTTTCTTTACAAAATTCATTAAAAGATAAAACAAAGTTTGAATAGGGAAAACGTTATATTGTTACGCAACTACCTTAGGCTTAATGTGTGTAGAATGAGATTTTGATTTTAGAATATAAGGATATGTTCTCTCTACTATTTTCAAGTCGTTTTCAGTTTTCGATTTCTCAAAATTGTGAAAATGCATTCTCTTTCTTATTTTCGAAAAAGTGTTTTTGAAAATAAGTTAAAAACTTAAAAAAAAAAACCCAAAACGAAAAATTTCAATTATAATCAAACCAAAATTTTCAAAACGCTTTCTGGGTATTTCCAAAACAATTTTTCAAAATACCAAAAAGAATATATTTTCAATAATCTCATAATGGACACTCAAAATATAAAATCCAAAATGAATTCAAAATTCAAAACATAAAACTGAAAAACAAAGAGAACAACCCCTAATATGTTTCATCTTCATTTCTATATATTACTCCATTAGGGTTGAGACCTTTTAAAAATTTCGAATTGTTAATTTATCCTCGTATCCTAGTCGAGGTTCTTATCCCAAACTCGAGAAGTTAATATTTTTTATTTTTTATTTCATTGATCTTAGTCAAGGTACATGCTCTAGTTTGAGAATTTTGTTATACTTTTTTAAACCATAATTTAGACGGTTGAAGCCAAGGACACTGATTCTTTTCTTAGTTATATTTTTTATTTGTTCGATAATTTATTCAAAAGAAGCGCAAAACTAGATTTTGAGTTGAGCTCTACCAAGTCGTTGCATCAACACTCTATCCGCATATCCAAATGTATTTTTTTTCCTCAAATTTTATTTCCATGTATTTTTGTTAGAACAAAATAGGGTGTTGGTAAAATTATCTTCTCGAGTGAGATGAGAAAGTCGACCAAGAATTAATTTTCATTAACTCCATCCTATTTATAATTGCTCGTAAATTAAAAACTAATGTTGGAATATATAACAAATAAAGAAGGAAAAAAACACAAAAATAAAAAAAGTTCGATCCAATTAATAATCACAAGTTATTTAAAAATTAATGTTGAAATATACAAAGTAACTGGTCNGCCCCGCCCCGCCAACCCGCTTGGGGCGGTTTTTTTCGCCCCATTCGGGGCGGGGCACCGTCGGGGCGGGGCGGGGCGGGGCGGGGCGGTGGTGCCGGTAGTTTTGCAATCTGGTTGTTTACAAAAGGAGAGGTTGGGATCATTTCCCCCTGTTTGATTTCAGACGTGGGAATAAGCAGAGGAAAAGAAAAGATAATATAATTAATGTCACATTTTAATAATTTCGAGAAAAAGTCATTAGCTATGCTTGACACCGTTTGGGGTGTATCTATAGGCAGTCAATTTTTGTCCCCCTCCCATCTAAGCGCAAGTTTTCCTTACAAAGATTTTTGGGAAGAGTTCACAAATCAGGCGCTAACTTTTACAATTGTAAAAATCGGGTATTAAGTTTTAAAAATACAAAAATCAGGTATTTAGTTAATTAATTAAATATATTAAAATCAAAATTATACAATTCATTGTCACAGATGTATGCTTACGAGTCACAATTTATTTACTGGTCACATATTATCAAATTAATTGGCCACAAATTATTTCGAGGTCACAAATCAAAAACTTTATGCATCACAGTTAACAGTTTATTTCATTGGTCACCAATCAAAAAAATTATAGGTCACAATTTATCTATCGATCACATATTTTGCAAATTTGTTGGTCACAAAATATTTTTTAGTTACAAATTATCGAATTTTAATGTCACATTTTAATAGTCAGTCACAATAAACGAAATAGTTGGTCACATGCACCAAACACCCCACCCTCGATCTCGATCTACCACGAATACTTAGTCACAAGTCAAGCAAACCCCCCACAACAACACCACAACACCACTGCCAGCAAAAATATCACAACCACCACTTCTATCACCACCACCAGTACCAACACTACCGTCGTCACCATTTTTGCAACACCTCCATTGCCGCACCGCACTGTACCGTACCACACCACACTAGCAACACCACTACACATACCACCAGTCACCACCATCGCCAAAACAACACCACACACCACCTACTACACATCACCACAGCCGCTACCACAAAAAATACCATCACCACCACACAAAAACACCACCCAAGTCTCTAGTGCACAGTCGGCATAGCCAGAACCACCACCATTGCGCCAACACCAACGTCGCCAGAAACCCCACCACCTCACGACAACGAGTGACCGAATAGCCTAGATTATACCTAGTGAACAAACTAGAGAACAGAGTGATGGGATCCAGGATTTTTTTACAGAAGTGGCCTTTTTCCATTTGGGGCCCAAGAGTAGGATTAGGGTAATGGAGTGGAAGAGGCAGTAGAGTTACGTGATCTCGTTCCGGGCTAAGTCCATTTGGTTCGCTTTGAGGGAGATTCTGCTGAGGATTAGCTCTTATTCTTTCAGCCATTGCTTGAGGAAGAGCTTGTGAGATGGGGTCTCTGCTATTTGGTGGAGCGGGTGCAGATGCTTCGACTCCATTATTAAAGACGTCAATTTCTTGTTGTCATCTTCACCGGTCATGAATATGGAGATTTATTGAGAGGGTGAGATGAATAAGAGAGAGAAGGGAGAGAAAAGAAGAGAGAGTGAGAAGGAAGAGTGAAAAATAATTAGGGTTTGGGTGGATGAAGTTAATTTATTTTAAGATATTAAAAAGTTTAAAAATTGATACCTGATTTTTGAAATTTTTTTTGCCAAATCTGATTTTTGAAATGTGATCTTAAAATATCTGGATTTGTGTAATTTCCTCATTTTTTTGGCATGAGGATGAAGGTTTATTGGACTTTCGTTGCCAAATAACCTTAGGTAAATGATGTATGTTTATTTTTTTTTAGACTCGAGGACAATTGACCCAAAATTGAAGAGTTTATAAGGCCCAATTGGTTCAAGTGAAAATTGTAACTTAGAAGTGTAATAACTTTTAAAGTTGGTCCTAATGACCCATTTTATTTTTGAGGATTAATTGTGTCCCTTGGTTCAAAACTCTGTCAATGGTCGTGAGTCAACATATAAAAGGAGGGAACCGAAGATATTTCTCTCACCCCAGTCTCATTTTCTCTATCGATTTCTTTCTCTCGGCCTCCTTTTTTGTCTCTCGGTTGCTTATTGTCATTGGCGGATCTAGGGGAACTGGGTTGTGCTACAGCCCGTCTCCCTAGCCCAATCCACCTAAAAAAAAGTAAAAACAATTTTTTTTGAGGAAATTACACCTACACCTGCTTTTAGATTTCCAATTTCACAAATAAGGTTTCAAATTTTAACATTTCAAAAATCAGGTTTTAATTAATATTTTTAAAAACATTTTTTATTTTTAATTTTATATCTATATAGAATAAAATCATTTTAACCAAACCCTAAAATCATTTCAACCCATCCTCTCCACTCTCATCACCCA